TGTTGTTTGGAAATGCCTTGGCCATATATGTTTCCTACCTGTGTGCCTCATTACCACTGTACTATAGGCTTGAGCTCATTCTTCCCCCACCCCAAGGATCTGTGTATTTATGAGAGAGTGCATCCCAAGTTTTGGGGGACAATGATTTGTAACTGCCATTTTTGCTATGCCTTTTCAGCAAATGCCTTTTAAAAATAAATTTTTTATTTGGTAAATATTTATCAATTACATATTAAACATTCATTATTCATTTTTAAAAATTTTGAGTTCCAAATTCTCTCCCTCCCTCCTGTTTCTCTTCTACTCCTTATGAAGGCGAGTAATATGATATCAATTGCATGTAAAGTCATGCAAAATATATTTCCATATTAGCCATATTGCAAAAGAAAACACACACAAAAATGAACTGAAAAAAGCATGCTTCAATCTGCACACAGAGTTCATCAGTTCTCTCTCTGGAGATGGAGAGCATTTTTCATCATGGGTCTTTTGCAATTGTCTTGGATCATTGTCTCGATCAGTAAGTCTTTCACAGTTGATCATTATTACAATATTGCTGTTACTGTGTACAATGTTCTCCTGGAAATGCCTTTTATAAAAGTATTTTATAAATTTTTAGAAATGAATTTATAAATTAAGGCTACTGGAGTATTGTTAAGGGAAAAGACACATGAAGAGCTATCATGTTAGTAAGATAATCACTCACAGAGTTGCCCGTAGAACCTGTGATAAATAACCACCCTCTGGAGACCCATCTTGCCAGTCTGGTTATGACTTGGGGGAGTGAATTCAGCTGGGATGGGAATGTTTTAAAACATAAAATATCTCATATAGCCCATTACATTAATTATACTCTTCCAGGAAAGTAAAGGCAACTTTGTGGAACTGCTGAGCAGTAAGTCTTCATTTACCTTGAACCTGCACTAATTGAACAAGTCACAAGGCCCACATCTCCATCCCAGGTGAAGCGTGAGTTTTAGTTTTTCAGATACATAATGATCCTAGCTGTGGTGCAATTCAACAAGGAATCAGTTAATGGAAATTATCCTCTTGTTCAGTTGATGCCTTAATCCCGGACATAGGAATTCTCAACCCACAAAGTAGCCAACAAGGCTGGAAAATGTCCATTTTTCAGTACCCCTTACTAGTCATTGACCTACACTCAGGAAGGAAATAGGAAGGAAAAGAAGAGAGCCAGGGCTTCAACCTCTTTTAGGAAACCACACTTTCCACTGTCAGTTGCTTGTGTTGTATGCAACTATTATCACTGGTGGGTGGGTGTAAAGGGAATGGGAAGTCCTTGCTGGAAATCCAAGGGGTAGAAAGTACTGGAAAGGTGTTCGGAATAAAGAAAAGCAGGGCTTTTTCCATTACTTGAAAAAGTCTTGACTCTTGACTCTCAGTTGACAACTCTAATCAGGGAGGCCCTAGTCACTGGAGACTAATAAATAATTTCCTGTCATGTTCAAGATGATATCCCTCAGCACAGGGCCACATGTTCATGATAACATCATTGGACATGGACCAATCAGACAAAGGCCCGTGTCCTTTAAATTTGTCATGTGATCTGAGGCAACCCACCATATTAATCAGGGCTTTCTTTGATCTCCCCTTCTATAACAAGTATTCGGGGTGCAGTTGAAAAGACGATTTTTTTTTTTAGTCAAAAGATATGAATCCTCTTGACATCATTCACAAGGTTTGTGACCTTAAGCAAATTGCTTAACCTCTGAGCTCAGTTTCCACATTTGTAAAATGGGGATAATAATAATTGTTATATTAACTCTCTAATGGGTTTGTAAGTAAGGCACTTTGTAAATCATAAAGAGCTACGTAAATGTGAGCTATTATTATGCTTGTTTTTGGTAAGTTTGATGTATAAGTACCCAAGATAACATTGATTGGGCATGTGAAGGGCTACAAATTTTAAGTGGGAGTCAATCCTTTTCATTTTGCGGAAGCAATACCCATGGAGGAGCCAGCCATTTCCAATGTCTGCCAACTAATTGCCACTCACAGAACGGGCAAGCTAGCCTGACTGAACCAGCATCCTGAGAAGCAGGGGGTAGCATGGGCCTGTCAAACCACCACCATCATATTGACCACCATCTCCCTTCAGATCAATGGATCTTTAGTTTCCTATCCTCACCCCGCCATCAATTTTCTAATGTTGAGTAATTAATAAATGTTTTACTCCACTTATTTATGTTTTTCACAACAAAATATAATATTATTATGTAGAATAAAATGAAAGGAAGTGTATCCTTAATCTGAGAAGTCTGTGGGGTCTTAGGACTTTGCATACGCTCTGCCTTGGAAGAAGAATGGACAACATATCCCTTTGGGCTAGGCTTCGGCCTGAATTGACAGGGGTGTTGAGTCCTCTTAGTGCCACCATGTGGCGCTGGTGTCTAGAATTTTGAGATCTGTTGAACAATTCTGCAATGAATTTAATTTTCAGTGGTGAGGCTGCAGATTGTTGACCTTTTGATTGATCCAACTAGTTTATTTGGCTCAGTAATGGTCTGAATATATACTTGAGGGTTACAATTATCTTCTTTTTAAAGTGTTTGGAATTCAGTTTAAACATCAACCCTCTTCTCACTTTCTGGACTCATGTAACTCAAATGAAGTTTTTCTCACCTTTGCTCAACTAACGCTAAAGGAGTGTCCTTCACTAGGCCAACTTCTAGGGGAGATAGGAGGATAAATAGAGTGTTAACCTGCCTCATGAAACTTACAGTTTAACAGGGCCAACTTGAAACACACACACACACGACTCTAAGAGGCAAGAACACAGGATCCAGAGACAAAAGATCTGGAATCTCAACTCATTCTATCTGTGAGTTTTTGGTCTAATCAATTTTCCTACATGAGGTATAAGATGGACAAGGGAGTTGGACTTTAAGATCTCCAAGACGTAGCTCTGACAATCTAATTGTAGGATTTTCAGTGGGAGGGGAAGGAGGAGATGTAAATCAAAGAAGGCCTTTATAGATGAGGTGGCTCAGGAATAGGGCAGCACAGCAGAAATGGTAGTCTTGGGAAAGGAGAGTAGAACTGAGGTCTACTTTGGTGGTACAGTGGATAGAGTGCTAAGTCAGCAAGAGCTCTAAATCAGGAAGACTGATTTTCCTGAGTTCAAATCTGGCCTCAGACACTTACTAGCTATATGATCCTGAACAAGTCAATTAACCTCACTTACCTCATCTGCAAAATAAGCTGGAGAAACAAATGACAAACCACTCCAGCATTTTTGCTAAGAAAACCCCAAATGAGGTCATGAAGAGTTAGACATGAATGAACAGCCACAATAAAAAAAGGCCTACCCTTTGTAATTCTGGATGCTAGTGCTGCTTTCTTTTATTTCAGCAGGAAAGAAACTTTTGGAACTCCTTTCTACCCTCATGCATACCTTCAAAAAAAGAGGTAGTACAAGCTGAAAATATAAATAGATTCCCCCAAAGGGCTGAATGACTTAACAAACAACAAATTTGGAAAACTGGTTCCTAAGGGAAACTGGAGTGATATCTTTGGAGGAGATCTGAAAAAGGTTATTATCATTGAGGACAACCATGACATTCCACGTTCCTTGAATGCTTCTTACATCTTCCTCTGGGGGCATTTCCCTTGTCCTATGTCCTAGAAGCCGGTAGGGGGCACAGTGGATAGAAAGATCATTGAACCTGGAGTAGAAAATAAGAGTTTGAATGCAGCCTCAGATACTTACTTAGCCTTGTGACCCTGGGTAAATGATTTAACTTTTGTCTGTCTCAGTTTCTTCAACTTTAAATGGGGATAATAAAGCACCTAGCTCCCAGGGTTGTTGAAAGGATCAAATGGAATATTTGTAAAGCACTTAGCACAGGGCCTGGAACATAATTTATATGTTAACATATTTAATTGATTTATACTTAATAAAAATACTTGTTTGTTTCCTTCCATTCATCCTATCATATAGGTTATGTTCCTAGTCCTTTCCTCATAGCATTGGGGGAGGAGCATTGAATCTGAAGACACAAGACAGGTATTTAAATCCATGATCAAATGCCTACTAGCTGTGTGGCTTTGGGAAAACCAATTCCCTTCTCCAAATGTCAAAGTTCTTATTTACAAAATGAAAGAGGATTCAATTCAACAAGTATTTATTAAGCACCTACTATATGCCAGGCACTGTGCTAATAGAGGGGGATGCAGAAAGAGGCAAAAGGCAATCCCTGCCCTCAAAGAGCTTACAGTCTAATGTGGGAGATAACACACAAACAGATACAAAGCAAGGGTCTCTTGCTCTCCTAGGGCAGCTAGGTGGAGCAGTGGTTAAGACTCTTCTTGAATTCAAATCTGGGTTCGGACACTTACTAGCTGTGTGACCCTGGGTAAGTCACTTAACCCTGTTAGCCTCAGTTTCCTCATCTATAGAATGGGCTAGAGAAGGAAATGGCAAACCACTGCAGTGTCTTTGCCAAGAAAACCCCAAATGGGGTTACGAAGAGTCGGACACGATTGAAAAACGACTTAATCTTTTTATTCCTTTCAATACTCCCCTTTCCTTTGGCCTTCCTTCTGCTAGTTTTCCATTTCCAAATTCGGAAGCAACAACCGCGGGGACAGAGTAGACATACGCGGCAGGTAAAGCCTGGAGAGTGGCAAGGGGCGAGGGGATGCTTTCGGGGCCCGCCCCTCCCGCCGTGCGTCATCACGTCGGCCCTGGGAGATGTTCCCAGGGGCGTGCCTTGTTGCCCCGGTAACCGGGCCGCTATCCCCGCCTCCTCCTCCCCTCGGAGCCTCCAGCCCGGCCCCGGGGAGGGCGGGCGGGGAGGAGGGAGCAGACGTGTGCGGGCGCTGGCGGGAGCGGGCGTCTGTGGCCGGGGCTCCCGGGGAAGCAGCGCTGGGTAGGGCTGGGCCGGGCCCCCACGCCATCCCCGCCACCGCTGGCGGCCTCGGCCAGTCCTTCCCAGGCCCCCTTCTCCCTTCGCCGTGGAGGGGTCCCGGGCCGCGCGATGGGCGGTGCTGCCCGCGGGCCGGGCAGAAAGGATGCGGGGCCGCCGCGAGCGGGGCCCCCGGCCCAGGAACCTCGGAGGTAGGGGTGTGCGCGTGGGGCCGGGTCTCTGCGGAGCTGGGGGGAGAGGCGCAGCAGGAAAAGGAGGAAGGGGACCCTAGCAGAGAGGAAGCGAGCCCCAGGAATGAGGAGGGGGACTGGACTTGGGGAAAAGGGGCAACAGAAAGGGGGCGTAAGGGGACACCAGCAGAAGGGTAGAGCCCCCAGGAGATGAGATGGGGGTGGGTGGAAGAAGAGGGGTAGCACAAAGAAGACGACCCAGCAGAAAAGTGGGACCTAGCAATGGGGAAAGGGCACCCTAGGAGGTGGGGAGGGGGAAATTGGCATGAGGAAGGGGGGCCAGCAGGAAAAGGGGAGACTGGGTTTGGGGAGGGGCACTCCTGCAGAGGATCGAGGTCCCCTGTAGGGAAGAGCATTGCAGGAGATTGGGAGGGGTCTGGGCTTGGAGTAGGGGTGGCCAAGCAAAAAGGAGAGACTACTGGGTTTGGGAAAGGGGACCCCAACAGAGGGGAAGACGGGGAGACGGGGAGACGGGGGTTAGGTTTGGTAGACATCACCCAGACACCCCAGCAAAGGAGAGAGGGAACTTGTTAAAGCTTTGTGAGCTCTCTGGGGAGGTGTTTGCAACCTCCACCCCCTGCTCCCAGTTGTAGGTTCCCTCCTTCTGCCTTCTGCCACCCAAGAAGGGGGAGAGAGTTGGAGTAGAGCCTAGGAGGGGAAAGAGAAGGAGGGGTTATCCTGAAAGAGGAGCTAGATTGGGAGGCATAAGCCAAGGAAAACTGAAAAGCCAAGCCATTTGCTAACGGGGGAAGCTGGGGAGCAAAATTCCTTCAGAGAATCCCTGTTGGTCATGGGAGATAAAAACAGGACTAAACACTTGGGGATTTGCACAGTGGGGTGTGGTCTGGCTTTGGAATAGGTAAGATGCCCCAATAAGACTTTTTATAGTTACTCTTTTTCTAATTCTTTTCCCCCTTCACTTAGTGTTTTGGGGGACATTCCTATCTTTTATTTCCTCTGCTGTTTATATAATTAGATGCTTTTTGGTGCTAGTAGGAAACCACAGGATTTAAAGCAGGAGGAGACCTTTTGGACTATCTAGTCTAGCCCTTTTCATTTTACAGATTAGGAGACTGAGGCTACAGAGGAGTCAAGTGGACCAAGGTCACAGAGATATTACCCAATGATTCAGGTCTTTAAGTGTCTTTCTTTTTCTCTATACTGTCTCTGCTTGTCTGGCTGGAGCATGTTTTCTGCAGCCCATTGGCAAAGTGTCAGGCAGTCTAGAATTCTTAGCCCTTGCCAATGAAACAAAATTCAATTAAAAATATAAATTAGTCCAAATATACCACATTTGAACAATACCAATTAAAAAAAAATCTTTTAAAAGTTTTTTTGCTGGTATTTTAAACTATTTCCCCAAAGACAATTTGCAAATAACCTCTAAACTCCAAGGCTAGAACTGGTTATGCAAAACAGTGCATAAAAAAAAAAGATATTTTCCCCCTTCCTCTGTAACATAGTTATCAATGTACTCTTATCATGAGATATAGTTACATTATTTTTGGTGCCTGTGAGTAATTCAGTTACATGACTTATTAAATGTTTTGCCTTAAAAAAATTTTTTTTATTACTTAGCTGTTTGAAAAAAAAATTAAAATAGTACAGAAATCCTTGGTACCATAGTCTATCAGTAGGAAAAATAATGTGGCAAAATGTACCAAATGCAAATGCTTAAGAAATCTAAATTCTTAGTAGCAGATAGATACGTTAACCAGTGGATTAATCAAGTCCTTTGCCTCTCTAGGCTCTTCATATAGTCATTTCTGTAGTCTTTGTTCATGAATGTGGTTCCCCTGCCAGAAAGTGAAGTGGGGAAAAAAAAATGTAAAAACTTGATACATTTTGTGACTTATTCACTCCAATTAGCTTGGTATCTGTAATCTTTTTTTTTTTTTTTTTTTTTTTTTGTATCCCTGTCAGGCAGGGAGTGGGAAGGAATTGCCCTACTCATTTTCTAGACAGAGAATCTGAGGCCCAGGGTGGTGACTACTCCAAAAAAGCACAATCAGAGGTAGATTAGAATCCAATGATTCTGCTTCCAGTGTTCTTTTCCATCTTCCTTACTTTCTAGGATAAGGTTTTTAACTTTAGGTCTAAACTAACCTCAATTTTGCAGCAGTATGGAAGAAAACCTTTTCACTAAACAATATGTATAACTTACAAAAGAAAAATGTTTTATGTTATTTGTGAAATGAGACCTGTGTGAACTGTTAATTTTTAAATATAGGTACAGAAATGAAATCATTTAAATAAAGGAAAAGAAAAGAAAATTGCTCTACTATGTTAGTTCAATTAATCATTGTTAATTGTATTTGATGTCAAGGAGTTCTTACTGTAGCTATCAGAACAGTTCCTTGGGAACATAGTTAACATCAAAGCCTTTTTTTTTTTTTGGGAGGGGGAATGCCAATCAGGATGACTGTTTCCGACTAATGTTTGCTTAATGTTTTCAACTAGGTTGGGAGATGGTGTGTATGATACCTTCATGATGTTAGATGAAACTAAATGTCCACCTGGCCCAAATATAGCCTGCAACCCTTCTGAACCAGCTCTACCTAGAAGATTGTATGTAAGTAATTTAGCTATTCTTTGTACTCTACTAATTGTTTTGTTAAGAAGGAAGCATTACTAGACCTTCTGAGGACTTTGTCATTTGCTTTGTCACGGACGATGATATACCCTCTGATCCTGTTTCTCAAAACACTTATGTCCTCATTCCCACCGCCCCCTTACTATGGCTCCTGTGTGCATGTACTGAATGATTTTTGGAACCAAGCCCAATTTCCATCTTGATTACTGCAATAAAATATAAATCACTAGGGGGAAAAAAAAACCAGTGTGCTACTTTTAAGTAGGCAGTGTTTATTTTCAAATTGTATAACTACAAAAGATCCTTTTGTGAAAACCACTGATAAGTTTTGTGCTTTCCTCTCTCTGCTAGTTTTCCTCTACAAGATATTAGGAGTTCTTACAGATGCTTGATAACATCAAGATAGGAACTGGAACTGTGATTTAATGATATAGAGAAATCCCATGTTACAAACTTCCCTCTACCAATGCGGTGTTGGAGTATCCCAGAGTGACTTGCCCAGCATCATATAGCCAGTATGAAGTGGAACTTGAACCTAGGATTTCGTGGTTTTGAGGCTGGCTCTCTATTCTCTATGCTATGCTCTGTCTCACCAGCTACTCCAAAGCTCATTTGGCATTGGATTGCTTTTTTAAGGGAAGTGAATTTATCTGCTAATTGTACTTAAGTAAGACTAGTGGCCCCTGTGTAAGCTAGGTGTTAGGAAAGAGCTGTCTGGAAATTAATAAATTTACTATGGTTCTAACATTATGAGCAATTGAGTTGATTATATGTGATAGTCCTCATTTATGCTTTCCTGTTTTAATATCTAAGATGGTTTTTATAAGAAAGGAAAATCACTCATCTTCATTCTCCTCCTTAAGCATTATTCAGGTTTTGCTCTGTTTAATGGGAAGCCAGTGTGGAATCATCCTTTTTACTTGTTACTTTCTAGACGAATAGTATTTGAAGCATGTGCCAAGAACATAAGGCCAGACATTTGGAAGACCAGTCATTCTATTTTTATCTCTTTTCTGAAGTACAGTATCATTTCCTTCCCATTCACAGCATACAGTGGTTTGCTTCCTGGGCATGTAAAAACCTCTTAACAGTTCCATAACCACCATACCCCCGGATAGCCATCAGATCTCTTAATTGCTCAAAGCCACCATATGGGGTTTCTCAGGGAAACTGAGTGAAAAAAGTGAACTACTTTTAGAAGTGGGTTACTTCATCAGTCATCTGACTCAAAGGGAAGTTCATCTGAATTCTAGTTTAAGCAGCCACTCTGCATTCGCTTAATAGACCCATCCTGCTAACAATGCAAAAGGTATTTAATTCCTGTCACTTTGTACTCAGTATGCTATTAAATTTTTGTCTACTAATTCTAATCTACATTCTAGTCTCAACATTTTTTAGATTTGATTGTAGATTTAAAATTCTTACTTTACAGCTATGTAGTGTATATATATATATGATATGTATGTGGGATATATATGTGTGTATACATACATATTTATGTATATATGTTACTAAAGGGATGCAGACAGCTAGATGGCTAAGTAGATGGAGTGGAAGACTCATCTTCCTGGGTTCAAATCTAGCTTCAGACCCTTACTAGCTGTGTGAGCCTGGGCAAATCGCTTAACCCTATTTTCCTTAGTTTCCTTATCTGTAAAATGAGTTGGAGAAGCAAATGGGTTCCACTCCAGCATCTTTGCCAAGAAAAACCCCAAATGGGGTCACAAAGAGTGACATCAGCTGAAAAATTACTGAACAACACAGCAGTAACTAAAAGGATGACAGACATGGATGGACTTCATAGCTGGCTACAAAGAATGATATAAAATAAAATCCTCTTTTGAGCACAATAATAATAACTAGCATTTATATACTGCTTTGGGGTTTGTAAAGTTCTTTCCATTTTGGTCCTGTTTGATCCTCATAACAACCCTGTCAGTTAGGTGCTATTGATTTCCTGATCTAACAGATGAGGAAAGTGAGGCTGAGAGAGGTTAACTGACTGGACCAGGGCTACATAGTTAATAACTATCTGAGGCAGAATTGGAACTCTGGTCTTCCTGATTCCAAGTCCTGTGCTCTATCCACTGCTTCATCTAGCTGCTATCCCTATCCCCTTCCTCCAATTAAATTTTGTTGTTTAAGAACATTTAATATGTACATTCTATCAATAATTATAAATATGATGTGTTAGCTGGTCACACTTGAGGTGGACTGGCCATGTTTGGTTTAACATCTGTAGTAATTGGGTATGTTTAGAATCAGATACAAATTGCCTTGTCACTGTGACCAACCCTAGAATAGAAATGTATAATGTTCCGTAGCTAGTTTATAGTCTAATATGCTGAGTGCGCAGTGGAAGATTTTCTTTAGAACAATGGAAAGATTTTATTTATAGCATAGGGCGCTTAATTCCTAATTTATATGAGCCAAAATCTGTGTTAGTTGCACAAAAGGAAAACATCCATTGGAAGGACCCCTCCCTGCTTGGAAAAAAATTCCCTAACTTCATGTCTTTGATGAAAACTTTCACAGACATTAGTGGGAATTTTTCAATTCCTTTTAAATAGTATCCTCTATCTTGATTTTATATTTCTATGGAAACAAAATCTTTTACTTGTTTTCCTGTTTTGTTTGCTAAGGAAGAGCCCTTCCCAGTGCTCTGCATCTGAGATGCGTTGTTGTCATGAACATAAAGGAAACCTTTCAAAATGAGCTTTTTATATATAGATGTATGAGGTAAAGGACGCAGCATGTGCCCATCCTCAACTATCTTCCCCACCAGCCTGTTTGTTGTTGACTCAAATTCTACAATTTCAGGTTTATTGTTTTGGGGTAGGGTGGTGCAGCTAGATGGCACAGTGGATAGGGTGCTGGGCCTGAAGTCAGGCTGACTCATCTTTGTCAGTTCAAATCTGGCCTCAGACACTAGCTATGTGACCCCAGGCAAGTCACTTAACCCTGATTGCCTCAGTTTCCTCATCTGTAAAATGGGCTGGAGAAGGAAATGGCAAACTACTGTAGTATCTCTGTCAAGAAAACCCCAAATGGGGTCATAGAGAGTTGGATACAACAGAAATGGCTGAACACCTGCAGCAAAGGGCATTGGTTCTTTATTAAAATAGAGAGGTAGTACATTAACTTGAATAGTTTCCCTAGATGAGGGCACCCTTGGTTTTGTTTGTTTGTTTGTTTGTTTTTTTGTTTTTAGGCAATTGGGGTTAAGTGACTTGCCCAGGGTCACACAGCTAGTAAGTGTTTGGTCTGAGGTCGAATTTGAACTCAGGTCCTCCTGACTTCAGGGCCAGTGCTCTATTCACTGCGCCACCTACCTGCCCCGGGGGCACTCTTGTTAGCTGGGGGCTGGAAGTAGTGTAAGAGTATTGGGTGCTAGGTGGGGAATAAAGAAAGGGGAGGTAAGGGATACTGAAATGGAGACTAGAGGGTTCTGCCGAAGACAGGCTTTGCCAGCTTCTCCATTTTGCTATAAGTGAACACTGAAAGTTCCAAAGATAAGTAAGGAGAAATACTAAGTAAGATGAAGAATGTAAGAAGTAATGATTGAAATGCATACAAATATTTTATCATTAATAAGTAGATCTCAGTTTTAATGAAGCTAATGAAAAATAGGCAAGTTCTTTCTATAGTTCAGCATAATATAGGCCTAGAATAGAACACCAGAATTTTAGACCTGAAAGAGAGCATTTAGTTCAAACCCCTTAGTTGTATGGAGGAGGAAACTGAGACCCTTGCTGCCCCTAAGAGTAGGAGTACTTATGTGGCTTTCTAAACTTATTGAGTGGATACACTGTTTACTAATACAATCTAACAATTACGTGTTTGGGTTCAGTTGTTTAGTGTCTAGTTCTATTAATATCGCTGCTAAACCATAATTTTGGAACTAGGGACTGAGACTGGCTCCTAGCTCACCTCTTTATTTTAAAACTAAAGGCCAAAATGGGAAACATCTGTGGCCACATTTGTAATGACTGCTCTGATGTTGCTTAAGAGAGTGTAACACTTTTTTTTTTTTTTTGGCAACTTGAGACATTGGTGACCTAGAAGTAGCCAAGGATTAATTAATAGCCCTTACGTGGAGTATTATTTGAGGAAGCTGCCTGCAATCTGCAACCAGTTATTTAAAGCTGCATTTCATCCATCTTTTTTTTTTTCCCCTTCATATGTTTTCTTAGCCTGGATTTGATTTGATTTACAACAAGCTAGGCCATTTTGAATACCAGTGGCTTTTTTGCTGAAGTTATGATTAAATTCCATTTTCTAAAGGTATGGCCCTTTTGGATTATCATCTTATGATGATTATCACATTACTTATGGACTCTTGAGACCAGAACTCTGGCTTAGGGCCACTGCCTTCATCTAAATCAGGGGTTCATCCTTCACATTATTTGGGACATGGACCCTGTTTTGATAAAGCCTACAGTCCCCTTCTTGGAAGGTTTTTTTTTAATGCCTAGAACAAAATATATAGAATAACAGAGGAAACTAATATATTGAAATACAGTTTTCAAAATACTTTTTACAAATAAAAACCAGACTGAGTGGGTATCTGTGGACTCTAGATTAAAAACCTCTGATCTAAAGTGATCTGCCAAATAGGCAAACAAGCAAAACATGATCTACTTCTTCTTCTAGAAGGTATAAAATTGGCCATATTATGATCAGGGCTCCAGTTCCTTAAAATGTACCGAGAATAACTCTTTTGAGATATCTCAGGGTTTTAAATCTCTTCTTTCCCTTTTTCTGTTCTGTTCTTAACCTTTTCTACATCATTCATACAAATGGTTCTTGACTCTTGCTTTTAATTTTTCTTTTTCAACCTCTAACTTTAACATTCCCTTTGAGTAATCTTTCTGTGGAAAAGTGAGAGGAGCTTTCCTCTGAAGAATCACTGCTTCAGAGCAGCTAGGTGGCACAGTGGATAGAGCACTGGCCCTGGAGTCTAGAGGACCTGAGTTCAAGTTTGGCCTCAGACACATAACACTCACTAGCTTTGTAATCCTGGGCAAGTCACTTAAGCCCGATTGCCTAACAAAAACAAAAACAAACAGACAAAAAAAGAATCCCCTGTGTAGTCTATGTAGTAGTTCTCTAGCCTGTGCTGGGAGACCTGCAGTGATGGGAGCTCATGGTCTGTCTCTCAGGCAACCTGATCCACTTCAGAATGGCTTGATGGGGAGTTTCTGTTCTTATGTGGAACCTGCACTTACCCCCTTTGTAACCTGCACCCTGTGAGGCCAAGTGGAACACGTCTAATCTCTCAACGTGACAGCCCCTTGCATACTTGAAGAGAATAATCATCACCTCTTTTCTCTGTGGGAAACATCATATTGTATAATCTGGAGGTCTTTCACCATCCCAGTGGCCTTCCTCTGAATGCTCTTTAGCTTACTAATGTTCTTGCTAAAATGGGCTGCCTAGAACTGGACATAGTACTCATTACATCTCAGTGGTTCTATTTGCTGGGTCCCTCAGTGCAGCCCAAGATTGAGTGAGCTTTTGTGGCTGCCATCTATATTGTTCATGGGATTTAAAGTTGGAAGGGACCTTAAGGTCACCTTGCCTAACCACTTCATTTTTTTTTTTTTTGCTTGTTTTGCCTTTTTTTGTATCACCAGTGCTTAGCATAGTGCCTGGCAAACTGACAGATTGAGGAAATTGAGGCTTTGAGGGGCTGAGTAACTTGTTCAAAACCACCAGATAACCCTAAGTGGCAGAGCTGGGAGTCCTGGCCCCAACTCTAAATCTGGTGGTTTTTCCACCAAGCCGAGTAGGCCTCCAAACCTCTAAGTCTCTCTCAGATACACTGCTAGGTAGTGACACTTTCCCCATATTGTAATTATGAAATGTATTCTTTTCAATCCAAATGTAATTTGCATTGTCTATATTAAATTTCATTTGACTAGATTCAGCTTTATATACTAGCTTGTTGAGATATTTATTTTTGGATTCTGTCATCCAGTGTATTTGCTGTCTTTCAGCTTTGTGTCACCTACACACTTGAAAATTATAGATAGTTATACTTTCATAGCTTTTATACCCTTATATAAAGGCTTCATCCAAATTCCTGATTAAACAATGTTATATAGCACAGATTTCAAGGGCACTGCACTAGAGACCACTTCCCAACCTGACATTAGATGATTAATGACTGTTCTTTGGATCTGGCCATTCTATGAATTCCAGATCCCAAAGTATACTGTTATCTGGCCCACATCTCTCTATCTTTTTCACAAGAATAGCATGAGACATTTTGTCACAAACTTTACTTAATCTAAGTAAAATATATCTACAGCATCTTCCCGGTCTCTCAATTTTGTGACACTGTCAAAAGAGGAAGTTAGGTTAGTCAGCCATGACTTGTTCCTGATAAAACCATTCACTCTAAATAGTTGTCATCGTTGTTTCCATGGCTAGATGTGCACTAACCAGTTGTTTAATGATAAATTCTAGAGTTTTACCAGGAGTCAAAGTCAAGGCCACTGTTCCATAATTTGTAGATTCCTTTCTCTTCCCTTTATTGACAATTGGAGTAGTCTTTGCCCTTCTCCAACCTAACAGGACCTCTCCCAATCTCCAGGATCTTCAAAAGCTCGCTGAGAGTGGCTAAGCAACCACAACTGCCAAGTGTAGTTTATTGGTGACTTGAACTCATGAGTGAAAATGATAATAATAATAACAAGAACTAACATTTGTACAGGGCTTTAAAGTTTATAAAGAACTTTCTAAGTATTACCTCTCTTTTTTTAGTATTGTCTCTTTTGATCCTCATAATAACCCTATGAAGCAGGTGCTATTATTCTCTACCTTCTGAAGAATTGAGTTATCCTTTTCTGATTTGGGCAGAGAAAGAAAGCACTAGAAGAAGTTGGGATAACTGAAGTCCCCCGTCACAACTGTGATGATACTTCCATGCTGTGCTTGTGATCTTTTCCTCAGCTCTTCTTTCTGGCCAGGTGCTCAGTAGTATATACTTAAATGACAATTTTTTTTCTGTTTTTGCTTCGTTGATCTTCACACAAATTTTCTACACCATGCTGCCTTCCCCTCTGGTACCTGAATTTTCTCACATGAGTATTTCTTAATATATCCAGACCTACTCTTCCCAGCCTCCAAACTTATGCTCTTCCTTCTGAATAAAGTATATCCTTCCAGGCTCTTTTTCAGTCACGGATCTTTCACTCCATTAAGCGTGAGACCTCTGAGGTCATATTTGCCTGAATTCATTTGGATAGATTGCTAGTTCATCTTCCTTATTACTCATCCTTTTTTGTATTTGTCAGGAGATATCTGAGATCATGAATTTCACTGCTTCTTGGCTTTGGCCACCCCTCTGGGTGTTACTCTTTGTATTTTCCTTCCTACATTGTAGCTATTTTCTTGGGCAGTTCTTTCCCTTTCCCTTCCTTTTTAATTTAAAGCCGTTTTGACTAGATTTGCAAGACTCCAGATGTCTTCTTACTAATCCATTGTACACTCCATCCATGGCAAGAGATGGTCATTTCTATTTTAAACTATATTCTGCTATCTGTCTGTTCTGTGAGAAGCAGCCTGGTTAGTACAGAGGATTATTTCCAGAAAGTTGACCACCATGTAATGAATGTTTTTAGACAAAAATTATGTGACATACACACATGGATGCAAACATGGTTAGCCAACGATAGAAAACTCTTTGTATTGAATTTTGTGGTACAGATTACAAGTTGTACAGATCAAAGAAAGTGGAGGGCGTTCTGCATTTGGAGTAGCCTCAGATAGTTCAATGGAGGTGGTGAGACTTGAGCCAGCCTTTGAAAGTTGGTGAGATTTGGATAGGGAGGGGAGAGAACATTGCCAGCATGAGCAATAGTACACAGACAAGAACAAACATGGCATATGTGGGGGACTTTTAGGAGACTAACCTGATGGAAGCAAACATTTTGTGTTGGGGAGTAGGGGGATATAATCTTGGATAGATAAGGTAAAGACAGAGTATGGAAGACCCTAAAAACCAGAGAGAAAAGTTTGGACTTGATGCAACATCCCCATTGTACAAACTTGGGAATCTTAGACACTGAGATATTAAGTGGCCTAAGGTCTAATAACAAACTATTGGCAAAATCAGGACCCGTAACACTGATTTCCTGATGCCTAGTCTAGAGGTCTCTAGTTCAATTTTCTTTCTCCCTTTGGGGTTATTTTAAGTTTAATAAAGGGCATTATTAAATTTAAGAGTTTATGGAATTTTTGTATGGTTCATTTTCTTTCTGAGTAGTTTCACATTTTTTTCTATTGCCTTTTAAGTCTCATATATCTTCTTCTTTCTAGATTACTACTGAAAAGCTAACAACCAGCCACACTCAACCAATCCCAAATGGAGGTGACATTAAGGTGGAACAGCTGTTTCAGGAATTTGGCAACAGAAGAACCAGTGCATTTCAATCCGTAGGAACAAATACCTCTGAAAAGTATCCTCCCACCATTTCTCAGGGTAAAAGTTCAGATAGTTTGAACACTGTCAAATCTGGTAGTTCATCCAAAGGGCTAAAAGTGGTACCTCTGACTCCTGAACAAGCACTAAAGCAGTATAAGCATCACCTGACTCCTTATGAGAAGCTAGAAATCATCAATTATCCTGAAGTTTATTTTGTGGGTCCAAATGCTAAGAAAAGGCACGGCGTCATGGGTGGCCCCAACAACGGGGGATATGATGATGCTGAGGGAGGCTACATCCACGTGCCTCGAGACCACTTGGCTTATAGGTACGAGGTGTTGAAAATCATTGGCAAAGGCAGCTTTGGCCAGGTAGCTCGAGTCTATGACCACAAACTTCACCAGTATGTCGCCCTGAAGATGGTTCGCAATGAAAAGCGCTTTCATCGACAAGCAGCTGAAGAAATCAAGATTTTAGAGCATCTCAAGAAACAGGATAAAACAGGCAGCATGAATGTTATTCACATGCTAGAAAGCTTTACATTCCGGAATCATGTCTGTATGGCTTTTGAATTGCTAAGCATGGACCTCTATGAGCTGATAAAAAAGAACAAGTTTCAGGGATTCAGCGTCCAGCTGGTGCGCAAATTTGCTCAATCTATCTTGCAATCTCTGGATGCTCTCCACAGAAACAAGATCATTCACTGCGACCTGAAGCCAGAAAACATTCTTCTAAAACAGCATGGCCGCAGCGCAACCAAGGTAATTGACTTTGGGTCCAGCTGTTTTGAGTACCAGAAACTCTACACATATATCCAGTCTCGTTTCTACAGAGCTCCGGAGATCATCTTGGGAAGTCGATACAGTACGCCTATTGATGTTTGGAGCTTTGGCTGCATTCTAGCCGAACTTTTGACTGGACAGCCTCTCTTCCCTGGAGAGGATGAAGGAGACCAGTTAGCTTGTATAATGGAACTTCTAGGGATGCCCCCTCCAAAACTTCTCGAGCAAGCTAAGCGTGCCAAGTACTTTATCAACTCCAAGGGTCTTCCTCGATATTGTTCTGTGACTACTCAGGCAGATGGGAGGGCGGTCCTTGTGGGCGGGCGTTCACGCAGGGGTAAGAAGCGAGGCCCACCAGGCAGCAAAGACTGGGTAACAGCGCTGAAAGGGTGTGATGACTACTTGTTTATAGAATTCTTGAAAAGATGTCTTCATTGGGACCCCTCTGCCCGCCTGACCCCAGCTCAGGCCTTAAGACACCCTTGGATTAGTAAACCTGTGCCCAGACCTCTCACTACAGACAAAATGTCAGGGAAACGGATAGTAAATCCTGTGAATGCTTTGCAGGGATTGGGTTCCAAATTGCCTCCGGTCACTGGAATAGCCAACAAGCTTAAAGCTAATTTAATGTCGGAAACTAATGGCAGTATACCTCTGTGCAGTGTCCTGCCCAAACTCATCAGCTAGTAGAGAGTGATCTGTGTGAAAATATGCATAAATGATATTTTTAATCATCCTGAAAGCCTGCAATTTGGAAAATATAGCATCCTCGGAGCCCCTGTGTTTGGCGGACAAGACTTTTTTAAAGGCAAAACTTTTTTTATATGTATGGAAATGAACTTTTCAAGGGCTAATTATCTAACCACCTTGTTTCAGTCACATTTCAAAACCTATTAAATTACTTTTTATAGGTCAGTGTACTTTCTTGGTCAATTAGTTTAGATATACTTTAGTGTGTTTTATTGAGTTAAATCCCCCTCTCCTGGGACAAAGTACATAGAAAAATGTGTCCTGGCTATGATCTCCATTCTAACCTAGCATCTCTTTCCATTGGTGAGCAGCTGAGGAAATCAAAATGTTGGAGCATCTTAAGGAAAATGATAAAATACGAAGTATGAATGTTATTCCTTTACTAGAAAGCTCCACATTCCAGAATTATATTTGTTTGCCCTTTGGATTCATGGTGAGGAGTGAGGGTAGGAGTGGAGATGACTTTAGGAATATGGTGGCAGTTGGATGATATGGAGAACCAAAAAATCTCTTGCCCCAAGAAGATGTTTTCAGGTCTTTATTACAGATAAAAGCTCCCATGTGGGAATGATGGGGAAAAGAGAGACAGGTCCTGTGGGTCCTATTCTTTTTCTCCCAATACCCAAGATTCAACTTCTTCTTTTCTTATGCTACTAACTTGTTTTCTAGAAGCTCAGAGAGCATAATAGCCTTTGTTCCTCATTCTCATAGTGACCCTGAAGATTCATTTGAGAACTGAAGCCCAGCCCCAAGACATCTCAGTTGTTCCATGGTCACCCACAATGCTAGATGCAGAATCAGCACTGAAACTCAGGTTCATTGACTTGCTTCTCTGTATACTAAGTTGCCTCTTTTTTTTTTTCTTTTTAGGCAATTGGGGCTAAGTAACTTGCCCAGGGTCACACAGCTAGTAAGTGTCAAGTGTTTGGTCTAAGGCTGGATTTGAGCTCAGGTTCTCCTGACTTCAGGGCAGGTGCTCTATCCACTGTGCCACCTCGCTGCCCCATAAGTTGCCTCTTAATATACTTCCCTTTGGCTCCCCTTCTCCACCCCAATTTTCAATACTCCTTTCCCCAAACCCAATCATGTGAACACAAACAATTTAAGTGATAGAAAACTGGTGTCAGGAGAACCAAGAATGCAAAGTAAATGCTTTGCTATTATCCTCTGCCCTCCAGCACCCACCATTTTCCATCTATCTTTCCTCTCCATTCCTGCCTTAACTGTCATTTAAGGTTACATCCTTGATTCAGGGTAGATTTTGGTGAGAAGCAGAGAGCTTTTATTTGTACAAGAGTCAATTTCAATATCCCAAAACTTCAACCTTCTTTATCAGATACGATTGAAAATGTGAACAGTGGCAAATAACAATCATTGCTAGCCAAGTGGCTTGCTTAACCCTGGAGGAAAAGCAGGGATCATTTTCAAATAATTCACTTATTTCTTGTTGCCTTCTTTTCTCCTGTCCCTAGTCCCACTAACACTCATCTGTAGAACAAAGATCAATGGCCTGCTTAATTCTTTGGGATGGATTCTCAGAATGATCCATTTCCATCTTTTCACTATTGCTGTATATATAAATTGTAACTGCATAAATTACCTGGAAGGGAATTCCTTCCCTTATTCAATGGGGGGAGGGGGAAGCCTGGAATGGATAGTTTCTAAATTGCCTTCTAGCTATAAATCCTATGATCCTGGGTTTCTGATAAATCAAAGGAAGAAAAATGTTATATGTGTTTATGAATATACTATTCAGGTCTGAAAACATCCCTGATTTCCTTGGGAAGCCCCAGTAATCAACAAACATGTGTAAAGTGCCTATTATGGGTCAGGCTATTTTGGTAGTTTTCTAAACTTTAGTAGACTTCAGCATGGCCTCAGTCTTCAAAGCAGAATGGATCTTTGAAAAAATAGAGATGGTAAAAAGTGAGGCTGGTACTTCCTTATAAATATCCGGTTCTTCTTTTTTGGTGACTGAGAAGAAAGTTTTGCATCTAACTAGCACAGCTAAGAAGGTCCTTTCAAAAACAAACCACAAACACCATTAAAAACACTGCTTATCTCCAGTTGTGGTTTGCAGAAGGAAGACTTCTCATCCAGCTCCTGCAGATCATTTGTACCTCCTGCTGAGTTCTCTGGCTTCTTGGGCTGCTTGTTTGGGAAGCTTCTTCATTATCTAGACATAGCATAAGTTGAGGGCACCATGTTAACTTATCAGGATGAAGGCACACTCTAAGCAAGTTCGGAAAGACCATTGACATCTTTTTTAGGGGAAAAAAGACATAGCTTGCAGAAATTTTGTGCTTTAATTTAAAAGGCACTTACTTTAGTTCAGCTGGCAATTTCTACAGTTGCTGGGCCCCCAGGTTGGGTGCTTCTATTGAGAGATTTCTGTGTCAGAATATTTTGACTTGACTTTGGGATTACCGAAACTCAGCCGAGTGGGAGGAAAAGCTAGTAGGAACAGAGCTGATGAGATTAGGAAGACAAATGTTGGAAGGCACTGGAAAGGTGAAGTGCTGTGTCTTTTTGTTCAAATTTTGCAGCCCAGACAATGACGCAGAGTACAGTCATTTTGACTTGGCCTTTCTGCCTTGCAAGAGCTGATTGCATTTGGGAAATTGCAGGAGAGTGGGCAGTTTTAAAGCATTCTGGTTATTGTACAGATGGTTTTGAGGAGGTTTTTGGATGGGTGTGATGGGGAGAAACAAGTTTCTAGCTGTATTCTATGTGGTAGGTTTTTAGTATCTGCTTCCATCATCATTATCATCAACATGTACTTGTTAAGCATTTATTACATTCCAGGAACTGCTTAGTAATGGGGATATAAAGAAAGGCAAAAACATGGTCCCTGCCCTCATAGAACCTTCTTAACTACTAGAACATTTTATTACCCAGCAAGCTCTATGACTTATTTAGGTGATAATCAATAGGATTTTCAGTCAAACAGTCGCTCAATTAAATTAACCAATTTGATGGATTCTCACCCCACACTGAATTGGTGACCAATAACAGATGAACAAGCCAAGCATTATATCATCATCCACAAAATTAATAGAACCGGAGGAGGGCTTGTAGCACATTGGATAGAGCTTTCAGAAATGGAAAGGCATGGAATGACTTGGAATGAGAAAGCCTGGATATGTTCAGATCTTTTTTTAAGGAAGGAGGGCCCACAATAAAGATCACTTAAAATGACCAGGTCAATAGGTTTCTTGGCATTGCAACAATGGCCCCAGTATTTCTCACTGTAGGCTTTGTAACTAATGAATCAGGTGGAGAATATTACGAATTTTGTTCCTACATTTATCCTGGGTGTGCCACAAGGTCCCTTCCAGCTCTAAAGTTTTTATTCTTTGTGATCTCACAAACTATCAAGAAAGACAGTTTTGGGAGCTTTACCAACTCTTAAGATTTCCAACCAAAAGAGACTGGCTAACCCTGTTACTCCTCCCATCAGACTTAATACTGCCTTCTATACTCATCATTAAATTCCGTTCCTTGTATTAGAATGTATACTCCTCACTAAGGGCTCAAGTCCTCAGTATATTTAGTACAGTGCCGAGCTCCCTATAGGTGCTCAGATTCACCAATAGAAATTTCATGTGTGTGGAAGAAAGTTTCTGGTCCCTGTATAAATTATAAATCTTACTGTCCCTTTTGGTCCCTTGTCATAGTGACCCATGAAATACCCTAATTTTCTTTTGAGAGTGGGATCAGAAGGCAGATTGGTGAAGCTGCCTCTTCCAAGTCATTAGATAGATTTAAACTGATCACTGAAAAAAAAAAAAACCAGTGCCATGTAGGCTCTGCTTTCCCACAGAGTGGTCCCAGATATGAGTCAAGACGCCCTTGCAGTGTTCATCCACCAGGATAATGAGCTTTTTCCTTTGGCGTGGCTGTATCAATGTGTTGTTTTCCTAGGAATTAGAAGGAGTTTGGGGACAGCCAAGTCAGCTAGTCAATCTCATAAGGTTTTTGGTTTCCGTGACATTTAATCTGTTGAGAATGGGGTGCTTTTGCGTAAACTGAACAACAAAAACAAAAAAGCTTAAATAAAAACTGCCATTGGGCATCTGAGTTTGGAGCTGTGATAGCTGTTTGTATCGAGAAAACTTTTCTGTCCTGCCTAATTCTAATAACTAGGTATAATTAAAGTTAAATTTTGGGTAGCAGCTGATGAACCACTCTAAATTTTACTTATTAACAGAGTATTACTCCTACCACTCGGGTGAATAACAAAAAGTTTTTTCTTACACACTGAATTTTTTTTCTCGTTCTATCTGTTGTTCAGTTCTGAAAACCGAAGAGCTGGAAAGGAGACCAGTACCAGAACGTTCATGGTTACTCTTCCTCCTTTGCAGGGCTCTCTAAGAGTAGCACACATAACATTCTTTTGTATCAGGTGCACTTGACATGTAAACACAGCAGCATTTTTCCATCATCTCATCAGTGTTTCGTCAATGTCTAGCCAGAGATTACAGATCACTAAAACACTATAACATGCTATACATAGTCACAGCCAGGGCAGACATCAATGAAAAAGGATTCTAGAGTCTGAACAAATAAGGAGTGGGACAGGACTGGAAAATTAAGAGTTGTCCACTGCCAGCACCAAGCTACAGACTGGATTGGCTGTACTTTTATAGTCCTTTTAAAAACATCTCTCCCTCCCCTGCCCTGTGGTGACCTCAACACAACTGCAGTCCTGAGGATTTGAATGAACTGACTTATAGGTCCAGCCTCCAGCCACAATGCACTTAGGGATAATGGGTCTTTCCAATTGTGTGTCAAAATTAATCTTGCTAATTTCAGAGCCCACACTTGGTATATCCATTTAAGGAATGAATACAATTCTGTCCTGCAAAGGCATAGTCTCCAAGATAAGGCAGAGCTACAAATACATTGTCTAGACTTCCCAGAAGGGTGGAATTGGATTCAACATAGCTTGAAACATGGGAGAGAAGCATATTTGCACATGGCACAGCTGGACATGAAGTCATTAAATCCTGGGTTCAGATCCTGCCCACTTACTAGCTATGTGATCCTGGGCAAGTCACCCTCTCTGCCTCAGTTTCCTTATCTGTCAAAGGAAAGGGTTGGATTCAATGACCTCTCAGGTCCTTTCTAGTCATAAACCTATGATTCTATGGACAAAGTAAGCC